GCTCTGCACCAAGCCGGGGACATGTTATAAGGTAATGACCCTTACAGTGTGTGCAGCAATCTCCTACAGGTCCTCCCTTAATATTACACCCACTGCCCCTGTCTATATTGTCTTATGTTATGGGCCACTCACTAATCACTAACACCACCCAAAACTCCTCCCGCCACATTTCCTGGTGCAAAAAAGGTCGTGATCGTTGCTCTATAGCACACAGAGCTCCTGATACAAAGTGAATGGCTGTCACACTCACAGTGGAGTGTGCTATTTACGCAGGGAGAGCCGCAATCTCCCACTGTAATCTGCAGAACTGCACTGTCTGTTTGATGGCCATAAACACGACTGGGCCATGCAGAGACAAGAGGGGCTCCAAGTTTGCCCCCTACAGTACAGCATGCCCAAAGCGGTTGCCTCTTCTGCCTGCAAACAAGAACTGGTAGACTGCAAATGCAGTGTAGTCAGCAACCTCTGCGAAGCAACATCGTATATTACAGCATTAGACACACAGAGCACCTGTTGTTTTCATACATTCTGAGCACAGAGAGGAACAGTAAAATACAATTACTATGTTGTACTACTAAGCAGCAAAATTAAGGATGCTTTGCAGGCAGACTGTGTGACTTGAGTCTAGGTACATGATAAGTGATCATGTTTAACAGAAAGGCACCTTTAAATAAAAAATCCAGTGGCTCTTAGATTCCTTTTAATAGAAAGGAAACATTATGTTCTGGAACAGAGAATTCTAAGCCCACAAATCACACAGATGGGAATATAAATGCTTGTTATAATGATGTATCGGTATCATGGACCCGCGGGCTAAAAATGTTAGAAATCCCGAAGGCTTTACTATTGACTTATCAAAGCTTATAGTGCAATGATTATAATTTGAAGAATGCTTTGTATTAGCCAGAGCCTCAGGTCCACTTTTCATGACTTGCCTAAATCCTTCCTTTGGTTCACTAATCACTTTCTAGGAAGTAATTCTAACAGCTTAATTGTTCATCTATGGAGAGAATTTATTCAACGTGACTATAGATTTGAGAGCGACCCAGTGCTGTCTATCCCGCTGTGCCCATTCAAATCAATATGCATACTGTATGTACCTTAAGGGAACCTACTTAACCAGCTATTGTAGAAATTAAAGTTAAACGCAATGAAAACAGTTAAACCACATCTAAAGACTGGTAAATTGAAGTATATTACATTTTTGTTCTTGGGTTTATATAAAATTATATAATAGTATATAATAATATATAATAATAACTGTGTGAATGCCAAGAGTATTATTACAGACCAGTGCCAGTACCTATGCTGAGATCTATCCTACACTGGCATTATAGCGGGATTATAACATAAGGAACTTATTTCTCTACCTACCCTCATGGCCCCAAAAAATAGAGGGGGATATAGGCATGCCAAATATTAGGACTTAAAACCTAGCCTGTCTTTTTGCCACATTTTAGACTTGCAAACCAATGCCTTTAGAAATAACTGAACCCTGGTCTCTAAAAACTTTTCTCCATACTAGAACTGCTAGACTATTGACTCATCTCAAAACAATACCCTCTTCAGGGACACATTCATAACATGAATGAAGGCCAGACTAAAGTTAGCCTCCCTCAAGCCCCCAACCGTTGACACACTAAGCAGCAAATACAACGTATTATGCAACCATTTTCTCTACTACTAACAACGCGCTTACTACTGGAAGAGTGGGTCAAGAAACACCACCTACTTACTGAAAATGCATATGTTTGATAACTTTCTACAACAATATATATATTCCATCAGGGCAGTATACCTCCATCTTAATTGCAAGTACATAGCATCAACAGCACATCAACAGCAAAAAATTTAATGCACACAAAAGACAGTCATAGTTCCTTTGAAGGAGGAATGTTGGATGAGTACACAGGGTTATTTTAAAATACAAAACAAATATTATAAATGAGACCTGGAGGGGAACCCAATTCAAGGTTATACATAGAGCTACACTTTTGACTTTTTTTTATAAGACAAAGACCACTGACTCATAACTCAAAAATTGAGTGTGGCCTGGTGGAAGCATCTCTAACACACTGCTTTTGCCTCTATCCCTTACAATTCTGGGACAAAATGGTTCAATATTTAAATCACATGCAGAGCATCAATTTATCAATTTATCCAAGGACCCCAGGATTTGCACATGTACCAACTGATCTCACCTAGATCAGGTTCGAAGGGTGGCAGTGGACTTGATACACACATGCTTGTTGCTCGTGAGGAAAGAGATAATGGTGTGCCTCCTACCCTAACAGGGCTTCCTTCAGCTATAAAGATCATAATGTGGAGAGAAAGACAAAGTAATACTAAACAAAGACACACTGACAGAAATTTTTTTTCATGTAAAATTAATTCCTTCAATGCTCAAGAAATAACATCCATTGTACAGCCTATTTACTGCACAACTTACTCGGAGGAGGCCTCCAAAGAGACTTTAGCAAACCTACAACTACCTGATACTTATTCTGTCTCTTCCTTGTCCATCTTGGGACTCCCTCGCATCCACATTGAGGGGGAACAGAAATTCCCTCATAGGACATTCTGCACTCGGGCACTTTACCCCCTTACCTTGCCTTTAAACTGGACCTGATCACAAGACCTCACCATCTGGACAGGAAACAGAACGTTGAGGTTCAGCCACCCATACCATACTTTATTATGCTTTTTCTCATGTTTTCTAATATACCTATGTATGGTCCTGGCCGTCTTCCATAGACTTTCCTTTATACAAGCTATTTGTTTTCGATAGCCACGTGGATATAAAAACATAGTACATTAGTTTCTTTGTAACCGCAATGGAATGCAAGAGTCACGGTGCTGCTTTCGAAAACTGACATCACACAAAAGTAGCACAATTATTGCCCAGTGATGTCAGCTCCTAATAGGACTGCCAGAGATTTAGTCTGTATATTTGATGTCTGGCAACTGTGCAAAACCCCATAAACAAACCAAAGACGAGTGGCGCTCTAGACGACCAAGGACTGGATGCTACAATGTCACCCTCGCCACCTGTTTCGCTTTACACCCTGTAAAACTGTCTCTGTTATCATTTCCAGCATAACCCGGGTCAAAAAACACTTTAAAACAGCAAATTAAATATTGTATAGTACGATAAAGACGATTCTGTTTGCTTGAATATTTGTATCACTAGTCATAATTGTATAAAGACATTCCATTTGTGATTCATTTAATCGCAAAATCTCCCTTTCTTCATCTTTAATCTGAGGGCTGCGAAAACATCTACAATGCGTTGTGTACAGAATGGTAATCCATGAATATGTAAACACAGAGTGAAGTGAAACTTCTGAATCATACAAAAATAAACAGTGCAAGTTAGGGGCAGATTTAAGATATTGTAGAAGGCAGATTTCTCAGTCATATGAAAGCAAGATGAGGCTGTTGAGTGCGTCAAAATCTATTTAAAGTGTATGTCTGGGCAAAATAAAAGGGCATAGGCAGTACATCTCTACAATATATTCACATTTACCATGTTTTGTCTCATTACAAATGCTGTAAGTACAGAACAAATCCTGCTGATTGGCAAGAAAATCCAGTAGGCTTCTAACTTGATGAAAAAACTGCCTCTGCTGCAATACAATTCCGAGCAGTGTTGCTAAATATGTTTGACCAGTAACAAACACATCTAAATTCACTCACCTTTAGTTACTACTGAGACTGGTTCTGAACCACTTACTTGTGGAGACCTTCCTTCTCATTGTTACACAGGTTATACCCCTTCAATCTATCGTGCTGCTGAAAGTCTCATTCACCTTACCAACCACTCCGTGTTTGCAACGCCCCTCTGTCAATCGCTGCAATGCTTTCTGATTACTCAAGGAATACAATTCAGAATATTACCAACTACTGACAAAGCCACCTACAATTCTGCCCCCAGCCACATCACCAACCTTGTCTCAAAATATCACCCAACCGTTCTTCTCTGCTCCTCCCAAGACCTCCTGCTCTCTAGCTCCCTTGCCAGCTCCTGTCATGCTAGCCTCCAGGACTTCTCCAATGCAGGGTTTAGCGACCCGATGGACGCAGGGCTTAGCAAACCCAATAGTAGCAGGGCTTAGCGTCACGATGGTAGCAGGGCTTAGCGACCAGCTGGACGCAGGGATTAGGGACTGGCAGCTCACTCACTTCCATTCGCCCCTATTCACACAGGGTCCGAACGGCAGTGAGTGAATAGCTGAATGCTGCCGAGCGGCACTCGACTCGGCTATTCTGCTCGGTACCTCCGTGGTACAGAGCAGAATAGAAAATCAATGAAAAAAGGTTTTCATTGATTTTTTTTTTCAAATCACAAAAAAGGTTGAAAAAATTAAAAACATTTTTTAATAAATAGTACAATTTAAAAATAAATAAAGATTTTTTTAAAAAAACTGTTTCCTATTGGCCAGTTGTTATTGTTTAATGACAGATCATCATCCCCAGGTCATTTGGGGACGCTGATCTGTCATTAAACAATAACAACTGGTCGAGGCCAGCAATGAGATTATGGCTGGCTCCGCCCAGCTGTCATTTGTGGGGCGAAAGGCTGGCCTTTGGCAGGCTGTTTGCCACAATTCAGGTGTCACTTTGGCTCAGTAGAGCCGAAGCATATGCCTTTGGCTCGGCTGAGCCACTTGGCCGCCTTTGGCTACTGTATGGGCTATAGTGAATAGTCCATACAGCAGCCCTTCGGCTCCAGCGGCCGAAGAGAGCCGAAGGATCAGCCGAAGCGTGAATAACCCCCTTAATTCCCCTTTGACTGCAATGCATTTTGCCAAAATAGCAAATGTCACTGATATGTATAGAGTTTGCGGAAATGAAAACCTCTTAATTTCACACATCCCTTTTCTTCATATGTTAAGTCCTTGAGCAAAATGCAAGATCATGTTAATGGATAATGACCTCTGTGTTGATTTTTGCTTTGATACCCAAGCCTAAAAAATAGTATACAATTTTCGGGTACTCACGGTATTGCAATCTCAAACAAGTTGTTCTGTATCAGTTGTTTACCCAACATGATGATACTGAGTTGAATGCAGAGCTCCATCAGACATCCTCCCGGAGCACACTACAAGAAAAAACAGTTCATGAAACATACAGCTATTATTCTTTACTTGTCTTTACTACCATTAACATCAGTGTTTCCATTAGGCTCTTTTGCGTGGGGAGGGATCGGTAAGCCCCATTCAGTTCTGGAGTATCTGGAGTAACTGCTGATCCCGGCCAGGTCACCATCTGCAAGGAGTTTGCATGTTCTCACTGTGCTTGCGTGGGTTTCCTCCGGGTACTCCGTTTTCCTCCCACACTCCAAAGACTTGCTGGTAGGTTAATTGGCTCCTCTCTAAGTTGGCCCTCTATGTGTACATGTGAGATAGGGACCTTAGATTGTAAGCTCCTTGAGGGTAGGGACTGATGTGAATGTGCAACTATGTAAAGTGCTGTGTAAATTGTTGGCGCTATATAAATACCTGTAATAAATAAATAAATAAAAGAAATGGTGGCCAGAGGTTGGTTATCAGATTCAGCAGATTTGACACTTCACTAAATTTGAGTTTGGACCAAACCTGAGCTCATCCAAACCCTGGGGGCTTGTTCACACCGGTTACAGTGGGCTCCCTGTGTTCTGGGGCTGGAGCACTGCATATACGTCTATGGCACCTCAGCCCCGCCCGCAGTGCGATCGCTCACACCAGAATGGGTGGCACAACAATGCCTGTGTTCCGGTCCAGTGCAATCGCAAAAAATTCTGCAAATGCATTTCTGTCTATCCATTACCTGAGATTTTCCCAGTCTCCCTGCATAACACATTAAGGTGGATTACTTACACCCAAGAAATATAGGTGTGTCCTCTGCACCTACAGCTTTTTGACTGGACAATGAAAAAGCAGCAGCGGACTTATAAGGACAGTCTTCTGCTCACGCTTCTTTCTCCTCCTATCAGTATGTTCCTTATCAACACATTTTTCATGTAGCACATCTTATTGAATTCCATCCTGCCACTGCAAGATGCTGATACCAAGTCAAATTCAGGTACAAAAGTTAGGCGCATTTAAAATAATAATTTATTTATTATTTATTTATTACAGGTATTTATATAGCGCCCACAATTTATGCATCGCTTTACCGTGCACATTCACATCAGTCCCTGCTCTCAAGGTGCTTACAATCTAAGGTCCCCAACTCACATACATAGAAACAGGGACAGTTTGGAGAGATCCAATTAACCTTCTAACATGTTTTTGGCGTGTGGGAGGAAACCGGAGTACCCGGCGGAAACCCACACAAGCACAGGGAGAACATGCAAACTCCTTGCAGATAGTGTCCTGAATGGAATAATACATTTCATGCTGTGTTAATGATTACAGAGCTGCATTCATTTATGCTTTTCATATCTGCCTTAAATATCTTTAAATGCGGGATATGCAATAGCTGTGTAACCTACCTCTTCCACCCTGTAGTCATTGAAAATGTAGTTATAGCTGCCAGGTCTTCCAACAAACCTAGGTGGAAAAGGGTAAATTATTGTTAGACAAATATTCTTAAATATTAATAGAGGAATTATACCAATGTATAGGATTTTTGTGCTGCAATGGATTCTCAGGCTATTTGGGAGAGAATGGTATCTAGAATTGACTTACTTGCAGTCTAACTTAGTCCTTTTTGGGGCGGTACCTGCAGAGAATGTTTAATTTTGTTGGTGGAAAAGTGCAATTGTGTAAATTCAATTCACCCCTTCTAGGTTCCATACACCTACACCAAACTGTAGGATAGGGTGACCCTTTGCCCTAGTCTTCTAGTTTAGGAGTACTGACCAGGAATGGCCTAACTGTCTATATTAGCCTCTCTGCTTCCAGCTTCAGGATAGTGGTGTGTGGTTATGATATCAGATCTTGTTAGTGTTTCACTAAAGCTAACCAGAAGGAGGGGATCGACACAAGATAGGTGGCCTAAGTGGGGCTAAGAAGTATAAACCAGGTTCAGCAGATTTGGGATTTTAGTATTAATTGACTAATTGCACTAATTGACAGCGTCTAATTTTGTCTGTCAATTTATCCTTAAAGCCTAATTAAAGCTTAGTTTTTATTACTGTAATGCAGTCAGCCTGAATAAAACGCAACAAATGTGGGTATTTTCTTCTTCCAATACTATACTATTGTGCTGCAGCAAGAGCTGAAGAATAGCATTCTGTCAGCACACTGGAGATCCAGACGGCTGCTCAACAAGAGCAAAGAGGTCTTGGGCTCCAGCGGTCTGACGCTCCCGATCTAGAGCTCCAATCAAGAGCGCTCGAACTCCCTGAGTGGCTTTGTGTTACGCAGCAGTCTTGATCCCCAGCATGATACCAACATTTTGCATTTAAAACCTAGTGGCATTAAAATGAAATAATAGTTGCACACATTTATTACTGTTTACGCAGCCTGCATTGCAGTAATGCAAAAGATTCTTCAATTGGACTTTAAGGGCAACTCCACACATAAAGCATTTCTCTACTTTTATTAAGGCTTCACTTTTGTCCTATGGGGAGATCTATTTGTCACAGAGGTCACAGCCTGAGGGGTTGCCTTAAGCTGACCATACACGGTTCACATTTAGGTGGATTCCTGTGAATCAGGAAAAATTGGAGCCATGAGTGGCCCTGCTGACACCACCCACATTGACAAGCGTTGACTGACAAATTGAAGGAGCCAATCAGCTGCAGTCACTATCCATGTATTAGGACAGCTGAGCGGGCCTGTTGTCAGAACACAATAGCTGGCAAGGAAGTTTTATCTATCCACACTGTTTAGCATGACTGGGGGAATCTAATGATTTCTCGTTCACTGGGTTAAACTGGAGAAATATTTAGGTGTATGTATGGCCAACTTTAGTCAACCAAGCTACTTGTTTCACTGGTCTGCGAGTTCTGCATATGTTCCTAAGAATCCACTACAGGGTACATGATGTTATTTTCATTCTCCGCATCCCCTAATAATTTATTTTACTTATGTTGCTAAGGTTTGGAATACCATTCTAAAGCACAGCTTTCAGCCTGTTGGGGCCAGGCTGGGAATATACAGTCTGGTTTCCCCTAATCGGGCACCAAACAGCAGGGAAGACCAGGCAGAGGACACAAGCCTATAGCAGTCCTCCCAAAAACTGGCTTATGTATCGATACAGAACAAAAAGATAAAGAACGCATCAAAGTTCACACCAGGAAATATCATAGCTCACCAATCAATTTAAAGAAAATAAACAAATCCGCAATACATTTCATAAAAAGTCATGTGGGTTATTCCTTATTAACAATGGTGAGTATTCAAACTGGCAGCTGTATGTCTTTAGGACCTGCAGTGGGGAAGGTACAGAGCCCTGTGATACATTCCAGTCACCAGCAGGGGGATGGAACAGAAAACGAATTCCACCCATGAATAACTGGTCCCTGCAGGGTTGTATATCATCACTGGACCACTTCTACTACAATACTTCAATCTAATGGTTGTCCATTGACAACGCAGAGCAATAAATGGTGCTGTTTTTCTCAGCCATGTGTTTCCTCTGCACTCTGTGAGCCAAAGCCATTTCCTAACCATAACTATTAATTAGATATCTACATTTTATTGTATGTAAGAATGTTTAATACAGTTTTAAATGTGACTAACAAAAGACAATCAAACCACCTCCCCCCATTTCAAGCCTCCTCTATACATAGAGATATCAGAACAGAATTAAATGTTCCATTCTAACATTGTGATTGGCTACCAGAAACACTTATAAACAGCTTAGAAAGTTGCCAGATGTTTTGGTGTTCTCATGATTTTTCATGCAATTAATGCAGTCAGCCTGCATTAAAAGCAACAAATGTGGGTATTTTCTTCTTCCAGTACTATACTATTATTCTGCAGCAGGAATTGAAGAACAGCGTGCTGTCAGCACACTGGAGATCCAGACGGCTGCTCAACACAGTCTTGGGTTCCAGCGGTTTGATGCTCCCTCCCTATCCAGAGTTCCAATCAAGAGCGCTCGAACTCCCTGAGTGGCTTTGTGTTACACAGCAGTCTTGATCTCCAGCATGATACCAACATTGGGCATTTCGACCTAGTGGCATTAAAATTGAATAAAAGTTGCACACATCTATTACTGTTTATGCAGCCTGCACTGCAGTAAGGCAAAAGATGCTTCAATTGGACTTTAAGGGCAACTCCACACATAAAGAATCTCTGTATTTTTATTAAGGCTTTGCTTTTGTCCAATGTGGAGATCTGTCACAAAAGTCACAGCCTGAGAGGTTGCCTTAAGCTGACCATACACAGCTAATTTAGGTGGATTCCTGTGAACCATGAAAAATTGGAGTAATGAGCGGCCCTGCTGACACTACCCACCTTGACAAATTTTGACTGACAAACTGAAGGAGCCAATCAGATGCAGTCACTATTCATGTATTAGGACATGTGTTCTCAAGATTTTTCTAGTTTTTGTGTTCTCAAAATCTTTCAAGCAATTAAAGACAAAAGATCTAAAATATGTATGGCATTAATATGTTAATCTACTAATGTATTTACTGTATTTATTTGCATGTAAAAAAGAGGAGCCTTAAAGTGAACCAGTTCATTAAATACAATTACATAACAAATGACAATAGCTGTCATCAGCTGCCAAATGTAATGTCAAGGTCCAGAGGCCTTCTAAACCAGTTTGCAGATATTGACTTTCTCAACGTTAAAACAGGTTAAAAGGGTTAAAACCAGTCAGTTTTTTTGGGGGCCATCTGAGTTCCAAAAGGGAGATTTCCCCTCACTTCCAGTCCTGCAGACTCAACAGGAAGTGAGATGATATCCTTCCATTGGAGGAACTTTTCTCTTTCCTCATTGGAACATTCCCCTCGAATTCTGTTCTGGTGACAACTTTTGGATCCATCCATACTTTCATTCCCCTTGACAATGATAAGCAGGACAATTAGAGTAAAGCTCCCTAACAGAGACAGCAATAAAAACTTGATGGTGGTTCTACCCATCCATCACCACGCTATCCAAATCAACTTAATGTTGATGAGCACTAATCTAATTGAGCAGATGAGAGGTGGTAAAGTGGCAAAGGGTTTGCACCTTCCTTGAGGCAATGGGATCACATAATGCAGCAACAGTGGGTAGATCTGAACACCATGTGCTGTACTTTACAGTTCTTTTGGTAGGTGGCACAGCTCCCATACAACTGTGTCACAATGGTCTGTTTAGATGTTTGGTTGGATTTGCACTTTTAAAATGTATGCGAGGGGTGACTTACCTTCCTTTGAAAAAGGCAACATAGAAAATTGAGGCATAAGAGTTTACAAACTTCAGGAGAAATGCCTTGAGAATCAACCGTTCTTCAAAGGTTTTTTCAGTTTTAGGTACCTCTGGCAAAAACAGGAATGACCGTTTGTAAGTAAAATGCTTGGACATAAATTGCAACAAAGCTGTAGAAAAACAACATCCTATACATTAAAATGCAACTTTAGCTTCAAATGTTTATTAAACCAAACCTGTACATTACCAACACTACCAACATTACCTACCTTTCCAGGGATTCCATTAGTTTCATTAACTTGCAATGTGCCTCTAAACCTTCCGAGCACATTTAACTAGTCATTTCCCTAATACAGCCCCCTCCTCCTGCCATGTAATAGCCCTCTCCATTTCTGGAAGTGTCTAATTACTGACTGTGCTAGCCCAACTCCTCCACCCCTCGCTTAGTTCCCTACCATAATGTAGTAGCTGGGAAAGAAAGTAATTCATTTTGGCACCTGCCACATGCACATGCAGGATAAAAATCCTTTATTGCAAAAAAGACAAAGGGGTCTATTTATGAACTACTCATGGGGCTGTATCTGTGAACATTCATTCTGTGTGTATGTATGCCAAAAATGTATATTCTTTCGTTTTTTTTTCTTTTCGAGTGAAATTATTTTTTTCTTGTAATATTGTAATATGGCCTCATAGTGTGTCTGTTCCTCTATTCCAATTTTGTTTTTTTTCTTAACTAAAGTTCCACTTCAAAGTATATGTTTATGTACATTTCACAGCTTATCCAGACTATAATTTTCACAAACTTCCAAACCTCTCATCCTGTTCATGGACAATAAACCCTTTTCCTTGACACATTCCATGGTGATTGGATTGCTGTGACTGAGTTATCTGTGTGGATGTTAATGATGGGGTATGTTCCTGACACTCATTAAAGCTAAATGCATTGCTTTAATAAGCTGCAAAGCATCTTCAACATTATAGAAAAGGTCAGGTGATTGTGACTAACAAATACTACCTGCACCGTGATCTATCAGACTTGCTGCAGATTCTGATGCACACAGCGAGAAGTCCAACTAATGCTCTGAAATCAGAGCCAGCAATTTGAGTACATGAGAGGAGCCAGCACATCTGTACAAGGCAGAAGGTGAGGATGGAGTTCAGCTTTAAATCCAACTAAATCCATATTTAATTGGGGGGCAATGAATTGCTTGTAGCCCTAACACTTCCTCTCCTTGGGTGACAATGCTGGCCCTCGATAATTACAGTACAGTGAGTAACCGTTGTCACCCCGGGATCAGAAGTGTGTTACTGGCAGGATCATAAGGTAAAAATAAAGGAAACAAGAAAACAACTGCATCCACAACATCCAAGGACCAGTAGGCTGCAATATTTTTAGATTAAGATTTAAATATTCAAGTTTGGGACTTCCAAATATCTAAAACATTTTAATTATTCTAAACTTTATTAATGGAAGAACCAAGTACCGGGTTTATTTTCTCTCTCTCTAATGACAGGTTTGTCAATGTTTAAAAAAAAAAATCTGGATGTATTCAGAATATTACTGGATATTGAGTTCATATAGGCATATTAAGCACCAGAGATTGTTGATCCAGGGAATATCGGATTGCCTTGTGGGATCAGGAATTAATTTTTTCCCCCGTTGAAGCAAATTGAGCCATGCTTTATAGGGGTTTTTTTTGTCTTCCTCTGGATAAACAGTGAGCAATTATGGGCACAGTGTTCTGTTTAGGCTTTTCTTCTTTTTCTTCTTATTTTTTGTTTTTCTCTTATATCTTTATGTTGAAATCGATGGGCATGTGTCTTTTTTCAACCTGACTAACTATATAACTATGTAAATAAGGTGAGTTATCCACTTACCTATTTCTGTCAGCCACTTTGCAACAGACCCATAAATTTCATCTAATATAAGAATTACGACTAAGTTAATGATAACGGCAGTGGCTGTCACGGTCACACGAACGTTTGCTCTCGTACTCTCGTTTGTGCTTAATGCCAAGGTTGCTGAAATTGTGATGCGGTATATGATGACTCCAAACACTGCTGAAAATGTTAATGCAATCTGCGAATGCAAGGAATATGGTCAGTTTTCTATAACAAAATTAGTTATGTATATCTAAAACACCATTCTAACAAGATTTGATTCTAATGCACTACATATATTCTGTTAAATCAGAAATTCAGTACATAAAAAAAAAAAATGTGCATGTACTATATATGCAGTTTTGCAGGATGAATGACTCTGCAAATTTCTGATAAATATACCCCTTTATGTATCATCACAGTATAAAAATGAAAACAAAAGCGCAGTCAGGTGGCGTGCCACAAAATAAACTGTCTATATCTTAGGAAATAACATCACATTGTCACATTCTTTTTACCTACCATAAATAAAACAGCTGCAAAATTAACCAAATAGGCAGGAATTCGGTCTCTCCATGTCAATTTTTCTTTCTTCTAAAATGTACAGAAATGATTATTAGAGAGAGGATCTAAAAATATTACTTTAAAATAATTGTTAGTGTAAAATGTAATTTTCTGATGGGTGACAACAGCAGAACATGCCTATGCAATGTGTGTCAGCATGAGCGGCTTGTACTCTCTATTGTGAGAGTGTGTGACAATGCAGGAGAACAATTGAGAGACAGGGACCTTCACAACAGTTTCACCAGGTATTGCTTTATTGAAAGCTGCAAATTTAAAAATACTGAAAATGATTTTTGACATTACAACAAAAAGCTATTAGGAGATTTTTAGCAACTGGGCTTTCATGTATTTTAAAGTGGAGCTGAAATTCATATGCAGGAACTATTTTGCCATCTCCAAGGAACTGTAATTCTGTGAAATCAGTTTTGTGATCTAGGTACCCATGCCGAGCAACACAGCAAAATCCTTAAACCAGGACTTCCCCCGAGCCAGCTTGCTCTTAGTCTGGTCCTTCTCCCTCCCCTCTTTGATCCTACAGCGCTGACTGGAGGAATGGACGGGGCAGGCACAGCTGGCTCTGTCTCTAGATAGTCAGAGCCCACTGTCAATCAGCCAGCTGGGTGGATCTCGATAGTATTGATAGTATCGATAGCAATAGCCCGCTATATACTGAGCTTTGGGTCACGGGAGGACATTAGTAAATGTCCTCCTGTGACCCTAAAGAGAACTATGGGATAAAAAGGTCACTGCATAGTTCTCTTTTAATACACAGGGGAAATTCATATGCAATTGCCATCTCAAAGGATTTGTAATTCTGTCAATTCATTTTTGTGATCTAGGCACGTACCCCTGCCAGACAACACAGCAAAAAGCTTAACCTCATTGTAGCCTAGCTTGATCAAGACCACCTGGCTTGTGGAATGAATAATGAAGGAAAAGCAAAACAGGGATGAGTCATCAGTCAGTTTTAATGTCCTATCATTATGTTTACTGTTAGCACTTGTACGCTGAGAAGGTGGGAAGAAACATCCAAAACTCCGAGGTGGACAGGAACAGAGTAATGGGGGTTGATTTACTAACCTTATAAACACGCCACGAACAAGTATACACCTCTGTAGTGTGTTCCCTCCCAGCATGATCTATTGGTGGAATCTAGACACCTTTGTAGTGTGTACACACCCAGCAGGTGTGTTGTGCAAAGCCCTGCATGAATTGCAAGGTGATGTTGTGTAAATTAGCTCTACGTTGTGTTGCTTGCATTGATGAATGCAGGGATGTAAATGCATGAGCTAACCATTTTTGTCTCAACTGTGAAGCAGCATTATATATGCATCATGTGCATGATTTTTCCATATATGGCATTAGTGGAAATATGCTTTTAGAGACTTGCATGCCGCTATTAGAGCGGTGTGTAGCCTATGGCGCATGCTACATGACGCGCACGTATGTAAATACATAAAAACGCGCAATAACGGCATGAAAATGTGACACGTTGCTCGTGTTTGGTTGATAAATACGTTTTATGTATTTTTTGGTGCGTGCGTGTGTTTAGGTTAGTAAATCACCCCCATAATGTCATGAAGATCTCACTTTTGGAGTATTCAAGACATATAAGAAGCCAGGGGACAACTCAGCCCTATATATTCCACTAAAATATCACATCTGAGTGGACACATATTTTAAGAAATAGTTCACCAATAACTAAAAAATCAATTGAACAAATCTTTTAAGATATTGTTCAGTGAAAATATTCAGTATTTTAGGATTACTATTTTCTAGCACTCATATCTGACAACCAAAAACATAAATACAAGTGGAGATGATTCATACCCTCAATACCAGTAAACATTTATTGGAGTACAGCTAATGATGGTAAAATTAGCAGCATACCATGCATAAGGACACTATAAATCATATTTGTAATGTGTGAAGATATTAAACAAAAATGTTTCCACGGGATGTGATTTTATGACGAGTTCTATGTTCAATTTATCATTCGGAAGATATTTTTGTTTAGAAATTTGCAGATGCTGTACATATGGGCCTAATAGCTGGCATATCACATGTGATCTAAGTAATGCGGGGTTCCTTTTCTGCAGGATGGTGTGACCTCCAACACATCTGGAAGGTCTCAGCGTACAAGTTGCGGCAGTTTTCAAGGCACGCCACTGTTTTTCCTATGGCAAAAAGGTTTTGTGAAATACATTTTCATGCAGTAAAAATGTGTGGACATGCAATACAGAACCCTATCATTGACCCAGACTCACCTGTTTGGTACAATACCACTCCCTAAACTACTCATTGCAACATCTGCCATGCTCAGTCCAAATTCCTCCTTTGCAAACCAGCTGGGGGCCCAGCCTGCCTATATCTGGGACACTGTGGCACCCTTGGGAAAAGATAGGTGGGTCTACCGACTTGACTTGGGTGCTGCAGAGTGATTAGAAGGGGTATAGCCTTAGACATGCTCAGAAACTGGCAGCACAGGAAGTTGAATGCAATCTACCCCTCACATGACCGTGATTGACAGGTTACCAACCCCCGCACTAGAGTATTAAATCGTTTTGCCCATTGATGAAAGCAGAATGTTTAGAGGAAGTTTTCCTTCAGTTTGTTTTTGGTCTTTTGTGCTATTTCAATAATATGTGTTGCATTAAGGCAACCCATTCATTTTGATAACAAGAAGGCAATGGACCAAAAACTAAGCATGCAGCATTTTTTTTTATGTCGCATACCACAATACACAGCATGTGCGTTATGCTGTCATGTGACGTCATGTGCCCCACCTCCAATATGTTTTTTTATTTTGTATTATTATTATTTTTTTTACGGTTAAGGGGCTTCGGGGAAATATCAGGGGTCTAAACAGACCCCTGATATTTCTCTTTTGAAATAGAACAAGAGATTGTGTGTCCTCGATCTCTTTTTCTGCATCCTCGGTTCTTAATCAATGGAAAGAACTCAGTACAGAGGCTTCCCATTCATTCAGAAACTGGTGATAGTAAAGTATTTACTATCATCCAGTTTATGAATGGATAGAAGCCTCTGTAGTGCTACTACCCATTCAGAAACTCGTGAATGAACAGGAAGGGGGGGATCAGATCCTGGCCGGGCGGGTCTATCTCTTCTCACTGCTTGGACATCCTGGATGACAGCTCCCTCTTCCCCCCCCGCCAGCTTCAACGTTCCATTTCTCCTCGGATCCCCACTGCCTCTGCCCATACAGATGTGGGAGGGCGGCAGGGAGTAGAGGAGTGGCACAGCCTGCAGCTTCTCCTTGGATCCCTGCTGCTCTCCCACAGTGTTGGCTGCCTGGTGCGCCTGTTGCCATGGGGCCTTGTGCTCGCCCCCCTGACAGCTGCACTCGGGCGAGTGCCTCACTTGCCTCACCTTTCCTACGACCCTGCAGTGGACATGCTACTGGTGATAGTCAGAGACCGTGGACATGCTATAGGAGAATTTCAGAGAGAGTGTACATGGAGCAGGAAGTGATCAGACTGGACATGCTATAGGCGAATATCAGAGACAATGGACATGCTAAAGGATGTGGTCAGAGACTGTGGAGAAGCTATAGGAGAATATCAGAGACAACAGACATACTACAGAAAGTGGTCAGACGCTGTGGACATGCCATAGGACTATCAGAGACAGAAGACACACTAAAGAAACTGGTCAGAGACTGGATATGCTACAGCTGTGGATGGATTCAGAGACTGCAGACATGTTACATAAGATTGCTAGAGATCATTTTAAAGCCCCATACAAATTATAGCTCCCACATTTGTTCTTCTGCCATCCCCCTTAAAAATGCGTTGCCGCATTTGCTATTCCAAATATCAATATATTAGAAGACAAAGAAAATTTACATAAAAGGAGAAAAGGAATAGACAGCACAAACAAAGCAAATAGTGTAAAGGAAATAATCCTAACCTTTTAGCTAACAACAATTAGTTTACTGAATAGATTTCCTTTACTAGTCTTAGGTCTGGTTTGAAGGTACAGTGAGGGAATGCATGCTCCATGTTTTCCTATGTCCCTGGTCACATGACGCAAGCCTTTTGTCCAATAATACTTTCCATATTTGTCCAGGTACTATTCTAATCACCTGGACAGCATGCATGGCATGGACAACACTGACTACAGGCTGTTTGGTACTTATTGTGAAGCCCTAGAAACCTAAGAGCCTAAAGTCAGACACCAAAGCATTAAGTTTCCTTATCCGTCTGTGGGACTAAAATGACTGTCCCAAAACTAAAATGTAAAGCTTCCTTACTAAATAATATCTCTACTAATGTGTCTCCTAATGTCTCCTTAAAAAAGAACCTGCCACCCCTACAATGCTATCACATAGAGGGTTTGTAATGTATGTTATAAAAAAAAAACATTTTAAAAAATAACGTTAAATAAAATAAATATAAAAACCAAAAAACCCACCAAAAAATGTTATTAAAATTCCCCCTGCCCCCACATACTGGTTGACTCCAAGCTGATGCCCAGTAAAAGCTTTTAAAGCATCACCTATAGACAATTTTTGGTACCATAGTTTTTCACCATTTCTGAGGCACATACAATTTTGAAGCTTGACATGTTTGGTAGCTATATGCTTCGCGCAACCGCCTCTAAGGTAATATAGCAAAAATTTAATAGTATATTTTGGTTACATGCACAAAAATTTACTTAAGTTTACTGATAAATTGGGCTTAATAAACAGCTGTGCTAATATCACACAACATCAAAAATTGCAATTGCCACTATTTTACTCTACAGGGTATTTGCTTTCATGAAATATATAATTCTGGGGGATTTAAGTAATCTTCAGACCTAAAATGTGCATTTTAACATGTTTGCACAAAATGCATGAATGACTGGCAGCAAAAGGGTAAAACTTATATGAGATCTTAGTAAATCGCTTTACATATGCTTTAAATAAAAAATAAAAAAAAGAAATGGATGCCATTACGGCACAGCACTATGTACTTCGGAAAAAAGGGACTACTTCACATTTGTAATTTATGCAGCCATGGGGGGTTAATTTTTAAAACCTGTGTGGTAACTAAATGTTCTCTATAAATTACAAGTTCATTGTGGACTTCTAGCTTGCCGCACAGATAATTATTTCATTTCGGTGGAACATGTTTATGTTTTATTACAGTTGTGTGTATCTGTGGCGTATTAAAAGCTTGTCGAGTCTTGGGAGAGTCATATTATTTTTCAGAGGAGGACCGGAGGTCAGCAGTGAGTTCTGAGCCGGCTTTAACCCTTCCCTGACTGGAAAATTGTCAGATAAGTCTCAGCTGATACAAACGCAGCAGAGGACCAAATATTACCTGCAGCTTTATTTCCACCATTTGGAAACAATGTCACATCAGCAAGGAAACAATGAAAATCAGACATGAATGTTTAACAGGATGTCCGCTTGGTTAATGTGTAATCTGAAATGAACCATAACATAGACAAGAGAAAAAGGGTGACTCACTCGAGTAACTCTCCAGTACATGAGCCAAATATCTAGGTGAGTCATTCACTAGAGTTGTAGATTGATGGAGAAAAATTAGGATTCACTTCATCCATAAAAATGCTTGCGCAGTTTTTTGGGTTTTTTAAAGCGTTTTCCCTTTTTCTATCATACAAACACAGAGAAAATATTCCAGCTGTATTTTTTCCTCTTTTTTATACTTACCTTTTTCAGATGGTCTGAAGCACTGATGTGATGAGCATCAATGTATGCGAGTACAGAGCGCTGTGATGATGCTCCATCAGGGGCAGGTATATAACATCCTGCATTTACAGAATGGGATCTGAGTTAAATGACTGAGGATATCCAGTACCAAAAAGTAATTACTGCTGGGGACAGCATTGTATAGGAGATAAGGTTTACAGTCAGAGCAGGAAAGTTAGAGGAAGCACAGATCTACAGAATGACTGATGCAGGTAGATCCTTGCACTGCAGTTCCTAAGGTACAACTTCCACTTCAGCAAGGAGAACAGTGAACAGCACTGTAGTGACATCACAAAATTTAATTCCAAATCTAGTGAGACTAGCAGTGAGAAGCAGCAGTGCATTATATAATTTCATGCAGCAGGTATGCAGCTATTGGGCTCAAGGCACAGGAGCTAACTTATATGTCATCTGTACTATTGACTTTCACCCAGCAGTGTTATTACTGAATTAAAGTTAATTTGCCTGGCAACCCACTCTGTAGTTATTGTTTTTTTATATTAAGAGGGGGACACACATAGTTTCGTTAAGAGACTGAACATTGAACTACCTAGATCAGTGGTGGCGAACCTATGACACGCGTGCCAGAGAGTGCACGCGGGGCCCTCTCGGCTGGCATGCGAGCCCAGGTTCGGGCCACCTCTAAGAAAAAGTCAGACCGCCCCGGATCGCCGCCTCGGTATGCGATCCGGGACGGTCACGATCAGGCAGCAGAAGCCTGCTAACAGGCATATTAAACAGCCACTTCCTCCTTGCTAGGACCCAGTGAGGCCCCAGCGAGCGGCTGTCTAATTTGCCTGTTAGGAGGCTGCCGCTGCCTGAGCATGACAATTTTATTTACAGAGCCACAGCTGCCATCCCCTGAGAGCTGCACAGCTCCCCTAAGAGCCGCACAAATTTCTGTATAATGTATTGCTGGGACTTTCAGTCCTTTCTAGCTGATGGTATTATTCTGCATTGCTGTATAATGTATTGCTGGGATTTGTAGTCCACTGTAGTCGGTGCCATTCTGTATTGCTGTATATTGTATTGCTGGGATATGTAGTCTTCTATAGTTGGCGGTATTCTGCATTGTTGTATAATGTATTGCTGGGATATGTAGTCCTCTATAGTTGGCGGTATTCTGCATTGCTGTATAATGTATTGCTGTGCTATGTAGTCCTCTATAGTTGGAGGTATTCTGCATTGTTATATAATGTATTGCTAAGATTAGTTCCTTTACAGGTTGAAGTCAGTAGCAGAACTAACAGGGTCACAACGGTCACAGTTGTACTGGGCCCCGGTGCTCCACCACTGACTCCAAGCTGTAGAGAGACTGTTCCCTTGCAGTGTGCTGCATGACATGTACCTTAGTAGCACACTGCAATGGAACATTTCACTCATTAGCACAGTACAAAGGTACATGTCACTCTGTAGTGTAGTTAAAACCTCTTGTATTGTATTTTTCATCTAAGATTCGTTCAGACGTCGTATGAAGTGTTTTTCTAAAATAATTCATCAGTATTCGGATCTAAGTGTGGGGTTGGCACTTTGAGACACATAAGTTGGTTTAGTGATCCAGTTTGAGCACTCGGGCTCAAAAAGGTTTGCCACCGCTGACCTAGATGTACTAAGCATTAAAATGCAGTCTTACCATTCACTAGAGACTATGATATAACTATAAATGATCAAAAATTTATTTATCAAAGGGGAACTCCATTCAGAAACAATTTAACACCTCTTTATATATTACAGACTACCCTTATAAACCATATACCAATACTGTATGGACACACTGGCGAAACTACCAGGGTCGCAATTGCGACCGGGCCCTGGCGTTCCACCTGTTGGGGGGGCCCAGAGAGGAAGAAGAGGGCCCCCCAAGATAGTGCTGCTCCTTCCCCACCGCTCTGCCACCCACAGCATGTACAGGCAGCTGTGCGGGGCTGGAGAGGCTGTCACACGGTGCATGGCGGTGGGGGGTTGGGGGAGCCCTCCGTGATTTCTTGCACCGGGGCCCTGAAGGTTCTAGTTACACCTCTGTATGGTTACATACTGTATATGAATACTTTTATTAGAAAAGCTCAAAGTGCATCCAAAGCCAATTTATTAATTTTTTTTACTTTGGGATACAGAAGATTAGAACCCCAGTCAGGCTTTAACTGCTGTCTGTACCTCTGCTGGGGAGAGTACCCTCTCTATTTGTCCAGTGACATTCACACCTGGATTATGAGTGAAGGAAAATCCTAAATTCTGATATGTCACCCAAAAAGAAATAAAGATGAAGACTTCAAATGGGAACACTTGTTGCAGTAACACATGTCTAAGGATTTGTCTTGCTTCCTGTTGTGCCCAGTAGACAGGGAGTTCAGGGTATTTTCCCCAATGAGGCAGAGATGGCAAAAAAGCTGACCATATTCTCCACTAAAAAAAAAGTTATTGCTTTAGATATACTTTAAAAATAAAAACAAATCCCTTGATTGCTACATTTTAGATAATTTTTAATACTAGGAGTTTTAATCCATTCAGAAACCTACTATTTCTGAGTACATACTGAGTATACAGGTTATCAGTTTAAATCACTGTGGCTAGCAATATTAGATACAATCTATTACCAACTTGACATCATACTTGTAGGCAGACTTCTCTTTAAAAAAATCAATTATTTTTAGTAAGTTCAAAGGTTTTCCAACAACTTAAGCAAATTGAGTTTGTCATTTATGATCAGAAATGGCCACCCATTTCCAGCCATGTATTATGGCTGCATGCTTACACATGATTGCCTGTCATGTTGCGAGCTACTTTATGTCACCTAAGATATGTGTAAGAGAACGTTTGACCCCAGTAATGAAATTGAAGCATCTAATCTGAGCAATACTAAAGATGGTTCTCATTTTGTCGGCTCCATCGAGATGGTTTTGACCTTGTAAAATTTACAGAGTTCCTTGCACAAACGGCACTAGATATTAAATTGTCTTTTTTTTTTCTCCAATATAATTATCACTTTTAAACAAAGCTATTATTCTATAGGCCTTACTTCCTTTCTGTATCTTTCATTTCAAGCTTAGAGGTTTATTTAGGAAATCGTCCCTACAGACTTTC